CAGCGTTTGTTTGACGAGAACCCAGCTCTGCCGATGAGACCCAGTTCGTCAAACCCAGGCGCAGATTTTGTCTGTTGCTTGCTAAAACAAATGCTGCTGGATGAAAGAAATCCCGGATGCAGATGGGGCTGATGGATTAATAACTAACGTAAGTTAAATCAGATTTGTGAGTTATTTTTCGTTTCTTAATTGGTTACGATCAACCCGCGTTTGTGTTTGAGGGCCGATCCCGGCAGTACAGTTGTTACATTCCCATTACAGGCATTCCACAGTGGTGAGATGTTGATTACCTCGCTTGGTATACAGGAGGTCGTGGATGCGATGCCGACCCTGACGACACCTGCTGTATATTTGGAGTTTGCATGTTCTCTCTCCCCGTTGTCGCGTGGATTTTTCTCCGGTTCCTCCGTTTTTTCCCTACACATTTAGAATCAACGTGCATTAAGACTATTTGGCTGCTATACATTACCACATCATAAGCCACTTTGTTGAGCTATCGGTTTTGGCCAGGTTGCTTCTGAAAAAGAGCTATATAGTTTAGTGGGCCTTACCTGGTAAAATAAAATAAATGTTTTAGTTTAGTTTAATCCCTCGTAATGTCGTAAATCGGAATGACTTTTCCCATAAATTTAAGACGAAACATTGGAAATGTGTTTTGGACATTCCAACTCTATTCCTAACCTAAAAATATACACCACCTCTATCACTTTTCACAATAATAATAATAACGAACATAAATATTACAACTATTGAATAGTTAATTTGAAAACAAAAATAATTAACCTTTTCAGGGAACTCGCCGAAAGATCTGCTGCACGTTGGAGTGACTGGCGAGGTGCTGTGGAGGTGCTGCTGCTGCACCGCAGAGACACCGTGACGCTGTAGTGGACGCATGGTGACGCAGCCTCCCGCGTCGCTACTCGTTTGATGATCTCACGGCGCGCGGCCGCAGTGAAATTTCATTAACGTGGAAATTCGATTTTGTTAATCGAAAAGTGTCCGCAATTTGTTAATTTGGTTCACGCGAAATTTCGTGGAATTGAACATCCGTAAATCGAGGGATGACATGTACTACGCTTGTTTACGTAGGGACGGGCGGTTTGAATCCTAAGCATCGTTTGCAGGAGGGTCCTGCCCAGTTTGGACAGTGTCAGCCCCGTGGCCCACCGCAGAATCTGTACAAAACATCAGCGAAGGCGGCAAAACTTTGGCAGCACCGATGTATTTGTACATCTTAAGACCAATTACACGATAACCCGCTCGCCTCAAATGGTTACCGTGCTATTCGCTCTTCATGGCCGTGTAAGGAAATTGGAACCCGCTAAAGTCACGTCGCCTCCGGTGACACCGACAAGGCAGAACGTCCGCTCTTGGCCCGCGGACCATACGGGCAGTGCTGCTGCTGCTGCTGTGTGATCCCGAGTTGAGCAATTTGCTGGTCTCTTTTCAGTAATTGGGATGTTTGGCCAATGCCAGTTATAATGTATGGGGGGGGGGGGGGTGCCATTGGAGGAAACCGGAGAACCCGGAGGAAAGGCGCATAGAGCAAGGGGCAGAGCGAGAGAACACAGACTCCACGCAGCAAGGACGCCACCGGGATTCTCGCTTTGAGGCACAAATGTTCCCACCGTGCCCCCCCCCCTGCCCCGCCGAATGAGCTCATCGTCGTGTCACCCGAACCCGACGGCGAAAATGTCACAGACACATGAAGTCAGTAATCTGTCCTTCATCCCGTCATGTTGATTCGCGTGTCCCCTGAGCTTAAGATTACTATGGAATGCTTTGGTCCTCGTGACGTGTTGTGGTGTTTGTTGGCTAATAACTGCACAGAGGCACCCTGTTCCAACGCTCGGCGGGACATAGCGACCTGTGTAGTTTGTTTCCTATGAACGTGCTTGATTGTCACATGAATTTCCACAATTCAATTGTTCATTCATTTAACACGTAGCCTTTCGCGGCCATTATCTTGAATAGATGTGTTTTGGATTAGATCGTGTAATTAGAAATGTGACCACTCTGGCTGTCGCCTGATGAGGCTGATTGTAATTGCCGGCGAGACGTCACGGTACCGAACTGTAAATGTCGTGGGTTTACTCTCCAACACACAGCCGGTGTGCTGAACTAGTCACGAACTGGCACGTTCTGTTCACGTGACAAACCTTTACTCATCGGCTGTGTCGGGTGGTGGCGCGTTTAACGACACATTTATATTGACGCGATCTAAACCAAAAACAACTATATTATTGTTCATTAATATCGTATTGTTCCTTTCATTGTGCTCCGTTGTGGACAATAACACATCACTGTAGCTCCTTCAATATTGCTTGAAGGTCGCGTCTATGGAGATGTTTATTTTGAATGACCCGTTAAATGCGTGGTGTTTAGACTGTCATGAAAACCATCCCACGTTTTAACAATAATAAATCATCACATCCCGAACTTTGTCAGACCATTAGTTGATGAAGGCCTCTGCATCGTATTGACTGCGAGTAAAAGTGGCTTGGGTGTGACAGATGATGAGAAGGAATGATTGCAGATGGATGGGACTGCCAATGGGATTATCAGCCACAGGAGTTAACGGGACGACCACCGTAGAGATGGAGCGATGAGATCAATTTAATGCCAGGTACCGCAAGAACCGACCATGTCCGTCTTGCATTGGCTTCTGGTTGCTGAACGAATACAGCGTTATGAGGTTGTGCTCATTACACACAAAGTGCTTGCCAAACATTAACCACAGTAGATTCCTGAACTTGTCAAGGAGCATCAACCATCATTACGTGAACTTTGGTCATCCTCGTAGCGGCTTTTGGCTGACCATCGAACAAAGACGGTCACCACATCGCGCACTTTCAGATGCCCTCCTGCGGCCGTCTGGAACGCTCTTCTGATATTTGGAAGCCACTGGCGCTATGCACTTTTACATTTAAATTGAAGACTCATTTCTTTCGATCTGCTTTTAGTGTTTGTGGCCCACCCCTACTTGACATCTATGAAAAAGAACATAGTTCACAATCGTTATTTTTTCCATGAAAAAATAACGATTGTGATTCTGTTTCCTCGTCCTTACGCCGCACGTCCGATTAGCACGGTTGGCTACGCGCAGTGCGAAAGAAGTTCGACACAACAACAACAACGTGCCGTACCGACCTGGACTGAACTTCCACTGGCCTCTCTCTACCAATGCGGTGTGAATGCCGTGTTCACAGCTTGTGCGGTTAGCATGCAGCAGCGAGATGCCTCGTGGGCAATGCGAGACTGAGGGGTGACGACGCGGTCCAGGCACGAGGTTTATGCCAAGAAGTGCTTTTAAATCCTATGCGCTCTTTCTCCAGAAAATCTACTTGCACAACATACCACCCATTATTGTTGTAAGCCTCGTCGGAATGTAAAGTCTCCGTGGTTTTTTTCTGAACGCACTTGCGAAAAATACTTTGGGTTCTGAGAATATCCTCAGGATTAAAACCAAACCAAGTAATGCTTTGCGTGGTTGTGAAGACTACGGGGCGACAAATTAAAATCTGCTGGCAATGAACGCCGCCTTTCCAGACCTGTCGCTCCCCGTCAAGTCCGTGAATCGCCTGCCGTGGTCAGACGCTGAATGTTGACATCGGCCCAGAGAGTGGCTTGCGTTGGAACAATGCTGCTGAGATTGTGCACTCCCAGAAGGCTGTGGGGCGGATGGACGTGTGAAAAGTACTTTTGTTTTATTAACTTTTAACCGGAGGGACAGATATGGATGGAGGGGAATTTCTTTGCTAATTAATTACGTGCTAAGACCTGTGAACTATGATCTTAACTACTACTCTTTGTTTTTTCGGTAAAGTCGCGTAGGTAAAAAAATCAAATAAATGTTTAATCTTTTACCTACGTGACTTTACCGAATTTTTTTTATTTTTTTTTACTTACGTGACTTTACCGAAAAAACCAAAGAGTATGAATCCTTGCAGTCACGAAAACTTCAAATCTAGAATGATCTTAACTATTTTAATAAAAAAAATTACCAGGTAAGGTCCACTGAGCTAAATAGCTCTATTTCAGAAGCGATCTGGCTATCACAAATAATAACTGAACGAAGTGGCTTATCACGTGGACATTTAGAGCAGCCTAATACTCTGAGCGCACGTTGACTCTAAATATGGAGGGAAAAACCAGAGGACCCGGATAAAAATCCACACGACAACGGTGAGAACATGCAAACTCCAAATATACAGCAGGCGCCAGTGTCAGGATTGAACCTGGGACCTCCTTCATACCAGGATTAAGAATGAGGAATGCTTCTAAGCAGTTTCATGCATTCCAGTAACTTGATGAATTGATGTGATTGTGTGTTGCCCTTTCGGCCGGAGGATAGAGCGGTGGCCTGTGCGTTGCTTATGTTGCATCTGCAGGGGTTCAAGTGCAATGATAACAAAGTCACAACACTCTTCTGGAAACTCCACCAAACCTGTACCGCCCAGTCTGAGCAATGGTGGGCGCGGAAACAACAATTCTTACCTCCTACAGAGACAAAGGTCCCCCGTGTAGCCTTAACAGACTGTTGGGGCAAGTGCTGTTGGCGACACCTACGAAGGCCGCCACAGCACACGTGGGGGTAGGTGCCACGGCACACGCCAGCCTCACGCCCGGCCGCCTTTGTCTGTTGATGTTTACACACCGCACCGGGTACTCATTTGAGGCTCAGCAGACCAAGCGGAGGCCCAGGACCGGTTCAGATTTTCGTCATCGGTGTTGGCCGTGAGCGGGAATCGAACTCGGGTGGCCGGGTTCGATTCCCGCCCCCCCCAGACCTCCATTCCCACGTAAACACCCACTTGGAAGTCAGAATGCAGACTAAGAAACGCACATTGAGGATTTTGACTGCGTTTTTTTTGCCCAGCATTGACAGAAACTGCCTTTCCACCTACACGTGAACGGGGCACGTGTCACCTGTGTGGTGGGGCTGCATCTGGCTCGCCCGCCCGCCCGTTCACGTGGCTGCTTTGTGCTTCGTTTCGCAGGTCGAGTTTCCGTTGCCCGTCGTGCAGCTGTCCCAGTGGCTGACTGAGAGCGTGAACTGGACAGACGCCAACCTCTACACCGCGCTCGCCTGCATCGTCTTCAACCCAACCTTCTGGAACGCCGTGAGCACATTTGGTGTCGTGGGGTTTGTTGTTGTTGACTCTCCTTGTCTGTGATCATTGTCATCATTGGAGCCTGTTTCAATACTGGAGAGGTCGGCGGTATGTTATTGTTATTTCCCAATTTCAATGGCCACTGCAAAGTTTGCCAGAACTGTGACCATTTCCCCGTGTCCCCCAGAGAAGGAATTTACTACCTATCGATGCATCCTAAAAGCATGGGTGTGACCAGGTCTGGCTGCGGTTCTTCTCGGAGGGGGGGGGGGGGGTCCCAGCAGAGCTGCCGTGATTCACCAATGAGGAGGAGCGTGGATCTGGGTGGGGGGGCCCAATGGGACAGAATCAGAATATTTATCCTGGAGAAATACGATGAGCTATGAAGCTCTTTTTTCCCGGATGTCCAGTAGGGGCACGGGATCGGAAAGTTACAACTATTTCTGGTGGTGCAGGGCCCAGAACATTGGGGGGTGGGGAGGCCCCCACGTACGGCCCCTGGGTGGTGAGATGTTAACTCCCTCGCCCGGTATACAGGAGGTCGTGGGTCCCATCCCAACCCTGACGCCTGTATGTTTGGAGTTTGCGAGTCTCTCTCCCCGTGGTCGCGTGGATTTTTCTCCAGGTCCTCCAGCTTTTCCCTCCACATTTAGAATCGACATCACCACGCGTTTAGAGTATTTGGCTGCTATAAATGTCCACGTGATGATAAGCCACTTCGTTGAGCTATCGTTTGTGATAGCCAAATGATTTTAAAAAATAGCTACATAGCTCAGTGGTCCTTACCTGGTCAAAGTATAAATAGTTTTTAGTTTTATAGGGCATGTCCGGACCACCCATGTGCTAAGAGCCGCCCGGTGTTTGGCGGTCCCCATGCTGTAAGTTTGCTGAAAGGCTTCCGCAAGAACTGCTCACGAGCTCTTTGGTGGGACTCTGTCGCCCCGTGGCAACCGGACGGGCTCTGGAACCAGGCCTGACATCTCGAGGTGCCCACAAAGACAAAGATGTCCCCACCCTACAGCCTCGACAGGCTGTCGGGGTGAGTGCTGTTAGCGAGTAGCAGCACCTACGAAGGCCGCCACTGCGCACCAGGGGGTGGGTGGCCAGCAACGTGCCCGGCCGCCTTTGTGTCCCGTGTGTGAACGTTTACACACCGCACAAGGTACTCATTTGAGGATGAGTCAACCTAGGGGATGCCCAGGACCAGTTCAGATAATTGTGGCCGGTGTTTTTGAAATTGAACTCTGGTCGCTGGGTTCGTGGCGCAGCGCTAACCTCACTGGGGTGCCCGCAGCAGCAGTGAGATGAGACACGTCCCGGCATCCCTCACTCCCCTCTCAACCACTTGGCACATTCGTCACTAACGCCGTGGCCTTCAGAGACAGAGAGACGATGCACGACAGACGACGTCTCGGCCAATGCTTTTATTTCTAGCACACGTTTGTAACATGCCTGCATTGTAACCGTGTTGTAACGTAAAATATTATTGTTTGTCCATTTACGTATTTTATGACATTTAACGAAATTAATATCGTCGTCAAGATGATGTAGCTATTTTGTTGTTGTTGCCACATTACGACAATAATTATGATGATGGTGGCGGTGGTGGCGGTGGTAGCGGTGGTGTGAATTGTTTGATGATCAACTAAAAATAGGAGACCTAGGACGATGTGTTCTTGGTTATGAAGGTCACGATGATGATTATGATGATTATATCTGAACTGCATAATGTTCATCTGCTTTGACTGGCATAAGCTGGCTCATAAACACTGGCAGATTCTGCTGAATATTCACCATATAGACGTAAAAGCGTGTTGTTATAACATCCGAAAGCTACCGAGGCACCACACCGATTGATTGTGAAGCTTTGAGCTTGCCGGCGGCTGTAACTCCGTGTCGTGTCTCTGCCCGTGGACATTTCCCATTGAAATGAAATGTAACCGGCAGTAATGTGCGGCTTCAATAACGCGCGGTTACCACAGGCCCTGCTCTATGTTAAGACGGTGACTGCACCGCACGCTTTCAGATGCGCTTCTGCGGCCGCCTGGGACGCTCTTCCGATATTAGGAAGCCACTGGAGCTGGGCACTTTTCAATCATCATCTACATTGAAAACTTTTTTCTTTAGAGCTGTTTTTGTGTTTAGTTTGTTGTCTTTACCCCGCACCTTCGAAGAGCACGGTTGGCTACGTACGGTGCAAAAGAAGTTTAACATACATACACTCATACAAACGTAACGTGCGAAGTTAGCGATTATCTGTAAACAACATTCTTACCAAAGTCCTCCGTAGGCCAATGTTCAAGGTGCACACTTTGCTTACAAGCGCTCTAATAAAGTATACGAGCCCCGGACGCCACAATCGGTTCACACCAGGTAATCGTCCGCATAGAAAAAATGCACAAATTTCCATATTACAGCACCACGCTGCACCTTGACACCTCAGCCGGAACTCATCGCAGCCCTCGCAAGGGCTCCTTGCGTTTATCGTTTTGCGGCATGCAAAGCAGGAGCGAGATCGCTTCCCTCGCTCCGTGGCCGCAGTCGCCTGCAGCTGAATGCGCAAACGTCGCTGTCACTGCTGTCGTTGCCTTTGTTGTTGTTGTTGTCGTTGCCTTTGTTGTTGTTGTCGTTGCCTTTATTGTTGTTGTTGTCAGCCGGTAACTTCCCGCCGCTGTGCGCGAACGTCTCCGCCATTCTCCTTTCCCTGCCAGCTGCTGCTCCTGTCCAGTCGTAACCTCTGAACCCCGAGGCGGCGTCTCGCGTGCGGGGGGAGCGGCGACGCAGCGGTCGGCGCGCTGCCGCCACGGACTCGGCTGTTGTGCGCCAGCGTGCGGCGTGCGCCAGCGTGCCGCGTGCGCAACAGCGTGCCGCGCGTCGCTCTCCGCCGTGTTGTCGGGGGCTGCTGACGCGTTGTGCCGCGGTGCGACCCGGGATCGCATCGGCGTCAATAGTTTCATTCCAACGGCCAACCGATGCGTCTTGTGTACGCTGTCAAAATGTTCACTGTGTAATGGGCTTCAAGGCCCCGTAGAGCGTCATTTTGCCCAAGAGAGAGTTATCACGATGTACTCTTAACATCAAATAAGTTCTAATTGCGAATTCAAATGGCTGTCATCTCAATCCGTAAAAAAAAAGGCGGAATGCAAATAATCACCGTCCAGAATGAATAACCTCAAGGGTCCAAAAGGTTGAGCCCCGTATCAGCGTGTCGTACAAATCGCATTTCCTGCCCTGAGCGCGGACGGCCGCTGCAGCGTCTTCAAAGGCCTCGCATCGATGCGGCCATCTCATTCCTTATTCCGCCTCCGAAATCAGCTTCAGTCGTCTCGGGCTGCGTGCAATCTTCCTTTTGCCGTCGTTAAAACATATATGTGCATGTGACGTCGGGGCAGCGCGGGCGAGCGTAAGAAGGGTGCTCGTGCCCCGGGGCGTGTCTGGGTGGCGCGAGACGGCACGGCGTGCCAAGGGTCGCTCGCTACGTCGTGGCCGCGGTGACGCGAGCGGGAAGTGGTTTTCCCGAGTGTCTATTTTGGCGCTCGCCTGGTACGGTAACAACAACGACGCCGGTGTCCGTTCAGAACGAGACGCAGACGAACGTGCGCCAGAGTGACTCGGACGAGCGCCCGCGGTCGTTCTCGTTGTGTGAACGACGAGGAGCATCCATGGCAACGGAACCACGAGTGCAGGCAGGAGAGAGATCTAACAGCACGAAGACGAAGATCTCCCGTGCAGCCTTAACAGGCTGTTGGGGCAAGTGCCGCTAGCAGCGAGCAGCACCTGTGAAGGCTGGCACGGCACACGAGGGGTTGGGTGGCCAGCACCACGCCCGGCCGCCTTTGTTTCCCCAGTGGCGATCTTTAAATACTGCGTCCGGTACTAATTTGAGTCGACCTCGGGGGAGGCCCAGCACCGGTTCAGATAATCGTCATCGGTGTTGGTCGCCCTGAGCGGGAATTTAACTCGGGTCGCCGGATTCATAGCGCAGCGTAGCGCTAATTGCTGCGCCACCGCTGCCTAAAACAACAACAACACGCACACTGCCGTGCACGGCTTTCATCCTTATACAGACCACCAGCTCGAAAGAACTGCATTGCGTGATACAAAGTGCCAACATGGCCACACACATCGCGGGTCTTTGGAGTTGGTGGTCTGCACCAAGGCCGAGAGGTTTTCATTCAAACGACATTGACGCAGCAGAATGTTAGTGACTTAACATATCTGTTGCTAAGTGACACACGTGGTACAAGATTTCTCAAGGAGGTGTCATCTCTATAAGGGTGCTTGTCACAAGACCGTTTTCGATGGGCCAATTATCGGCACCGGCTCATTGCGTGGCTGACCTTCTGCTCTTTGGCGGTTCCTTCTTTGCCTTCCAAGTGGTTCTCTGTCTCTCTCCCTGTCTCTCCCTGTCTCCCTGTTTCTCCCTGTCTCCCTGTCTCTGTCTCTCTGTGTCTCTCTCTCTGTCTCTCCGTGTCTTTCTCTCTCTCTCTCTCTGTCTCTCCCTGTCTCTGTCTTTCTATCTCTCTGTCTCTGCGAAAGGGAACATACACCGCTCGATGGCGACAGCGCGTCACAAGTTGAAACATCCTCATCATCATGACTACAGCAGCAGGAACGCTGTTGTCCGGCACACCTGAGATGCGTGCGCAGGCCGAACAAAGACCGGGGCGCGTGGGTAGCGTCTCGAAGCATCCCGCTGCCTCCCGCTGCCTCGTGCGATGCCGAGGCAGCCGTACGTCCGCTTCATCCTACTCGCGCGACCGTGTCCTGTTCGCTTGATCGCGTTGTATATCCATTTCGCATCCACGTTATGATGAAAAAATATGTTCCCCAATACATTCATTGTGTCGTATCCAATTCGCGTTGTGAAAACAACACGCGGCGTTATAGGCAGAGCGGACCGTGCCTGTTAACGCGTGCGGCGGGGCGTGCGTGTGTGTGCGTGTGTGACTGTGTGTGTGCGTGTGTATGTGACTGCGTGTGTGTGTGACTGCGTGTGTGTGCGTGTGTGACTGCGTGTGTGTGCGTGTGTGTGTGTGTGCGTGTGTGTGTGTGTGCGTGCGTACGGGACTGCGTGTGTGCGTGTGTGTGCGTGTGTGACTGCCAGGTGGCGCGCCGCGAGCACCGCACGCGATTCCTGACGCGGGCGTGCGGCGGCTCCGCGCACGGCGCCTGCCACGTGCTCGCCGTCGCCATCCTGCTGCTGGGCTTCTACAGAGACTACCGGTGCCGCCGCCTCGCCGCACCTCGCTACACAAACTCGCCGCTCGACCACTCCACGCAAATCATTACACATTTACAAATGCCACTGCGGTCTTTGCCACTCCGTCACCAGGTAGAGAAACCTATGTAATACACTTGGATTCAATGTAAACAAGTCGTTTACATTTTTATTTTACCAGGTAAGGCCCACTGAGCTACGTAGCTCTTTTTCAGAAGCGACCTGGATGTCACAAATGATGGCCAAACAAAGTGGCTTATCGCGTGGAAATGTATAGCGGTAAAATACTCCGATGTTGATTTTAAATGTGGAGATAAAAACTGGAGGACCCGCAGAAAAATCTACACGACCACGGGGAGAGAGACATGCAAACTCATAGTATAAAGCAGCAGGCGTGACGGTCGGGATCATACGTAGCCAACCATGCTGATCGGAGGTGTGGGTGAAGGACAACAAACTAAACACGTAAAGGAGTTCTAAAGAAGGTTCGGATGGTGACCCAGTGGTAATGGTCGTGCACCACCGCAAGAAGATTCTGGGCTCAATACCCGCTGCCCAACTCGGGCGCTTGTCTGTGTGGAGTTTGTACAAACTTATTAAACTATTTTTTTATTATTTTACCGGCTAAGGCCCACTGAGCTATGTAGCTCTTTTTCAGAAGCGACCTGCTCACAAATGACAGCTCAACGAAGTTGCTTATCACGTGGAAATTCATAGCAGACAAATACTCTAAAACGCGTGACGTTGATTCCAAATGTGGAGGGAAAAACTGCAGAGGGCGTGAGGGTTGGGATGGAACCCACGAACTCCTCCACACCAGGCGGGGTAGTGAACATCTCCTAGCCACCGCTCTCTCTCTCTTCCTCTCTTCTGCATGGGTTTTGTCCAGATTGTCCGGTTTCCTTCCATAGCCCGAAAAAAGAAACAATGTAACCGGTATCGGCCAAACATCTGAATGCTGAAAAGTTACCTGCAAATTTACTCAGTTGGGATCACGCGCAGCAGCAGTAGCAGCAACATCGCCTGCTACTGCTAAAACTTGGCAGGACCTTCCTGAAAACAGGTCTTGAGACTCGGTGAGGCTGTCCTGCCATGGGTAGACGAGCTGAATGATCATGAATTTTAAATTGGTTGCCGATGTCTCATCATCATCGCAACATTCAGAAGCGCTGGTAGCGTGGTGGCTTCTGGGACGTCACCGCCGACGTGACGACTACCTTTCTAACCGTCGCCGTGCGTTCCACAAATCTCGGCGAGGTGCGCGGAGCGTGGGAACGGTGCGAGTTGGTCTCGTACGAAAGTCTTAAATGGTTTCTAGCTGTGTGAGGGACCTTTGAGACCAAAGTTTATTTTTCAAGACCTGGGCACAAGGACAAACATATACTCGGCGGACCTCTTGACCTTATCTGCACGCTCATTTGCATGTCGCTCTGTCACGGCATTCACTGGGGTAATGTCACTCTGACCAAAATAGATGGACGACCGAGGGAATTGATTTTGACTCGCGTGTAACCTGTGACCTTTGACTGCTACTGCACTTGAATTCCAAATATACAGGTATCAGGGTCGGGATCAAGCCCGCGACCTGTATACCAGGCGAGGTAGTTAACATCTCGCCACCGCGGTGAGACGATTACGGTAGCGATAGTGGCAACAAGGCAGGATGTTAAAATCCCCGACCTTGACGACGCCTGTATATTTGGAGTTTGAGTGTTCTCCCCTTGTGGTCGCGTAGATTTTTCTCCTGGCTGTCCGTTTTTTCCCCTCCACATTTAGAATCAACGGTGCGTTTTAAATTATTTGGCTGCTATAAATTTCCACATGATAAGCCACTTCGTTGAGATATTGTGATAGCCAGGTCGCCTCTGAATCTGGTAAATAGAATAGTTTATTTTAAAGGGGAAGCAGAACATACAAACGCCACACAGACAGGCATCCGAGTCAGGAATCGAACCCAGGGACCTCTTGCTGTGAGGCACGAGCGATACCACTGCATCGCCACCCCCTGCGTTTGTTTTTCGCGTCAATTCCACCGCGTGTGGTGCTCCCGGTGACGGGCGACACACGAAGCGCAGCCAGCGCCGTCGTTCTGCGCTCTCCCTCCCTCCGTCCCTCTCTCTGTGAGCAGCTGAGCCAGGGCAGCAGCACGGTGGCTCGCACACAGAGGGACGTCGCGTGCCGACTCTGCCGGATTCCCCGTACCCACACGCCGCACCGCACTCCTGCCATGCGGATGTTTTGATACGAGGGGAGCGGTTAGCGCTACGTTGCGCTACAAACCCGGCGAGCCCGAGTTCGATTTCCGCTCACGGCCGCCACCGGTGATGGTTGTCTGAACCTTTCCTGGGTCTCCCCTAGGTCGACTCAGCCTCAAATGAGTACCCGGTGCGGTGTGTAAACATTGCAAATGGGGGAGACAAAGGCGGCGGGGTGTGCTGTGGAGGATCCTTGTCCCAGGGCCTATCTGGCGCGTTGCCGGGCGTGGTGCTGGCCACCAGCCCCTCCCGTGTGCCACGTGCCGGCTTTCACAAGTGCTGCTCGCTAACAGCACTTGCCCCAACAGTCTGTTAAAGCTACACGAGGGACCTTTGTTTTTGTTTTTGTGAAGTCACCCGGCACCTCACTTGCCCTCGGTGTCAGCGTCCTCAAATGTCCACCCTGGCCCCAATGTTTTCGAAAGTCATCTTGACGTGCGGCAGTCATTTCCAGTTCTCTCCCGCTCAAACAATCGTCTCGCATTGGCGCGTGGGACAAAGCACCGCAACAAACAGACGTGCGGCGTGGACTTACACCGGTCTGGACCGCTCGAGGTGAAGGAACAGGCGAGCTCGCCAGCCGTGGACACTGCGTCACCGGTGCCGCAGACACTGCGACGCGTGGACGGCGGTGGAGCGCATCAAAGTATTCCGCGCTCCGTCTGCCAAACTCGTGTGCGTTGTCATTCACACGGTTTGTTACCGTGCCGGTGTCGGAGGTCTTTCATCCGAACGGAGGGGGGTGGGGGCGGCAACTCTCCAACTCTGCAGAAGTTGGAGAGTGCCCCCTGCTGTGAAGTTTTCATCCTCTCGAGAGACCGGGGCGCAGGTGGCCCTCGTTAGGGATGTGGCTTCGCTTACCAATGATCACTCAATCTTTATGTTACGTGCCAATATCAGTGCACATTACAGCAGAACGGGACGCTACCGTGGGGCACGGAACAACAGGGATGAGCAGAAAGACTCCCTCGCGACCTCAGCAGCAGATTAAATTGCAACCGCACGCAAAATAAAGTGCCACCGGGCGCCACGAACAGCGAGGAGAAAAATAAGTAGTGCATAAAAAGGAGAGAAACAGTTTTTTTTTTCCTTCTTAAATTTTTGATTTCATGGACAAGACCGACGAGTCTGGCACATAGCCGCAGGATAGACACACACTCGGCGGGTACCCTTTAGCGCAGTTCGCCCAATTTCCATCAAAGGGAAGCCGCCAAGGCCAATCGGCCATTCTGCTCAAGGTCTGGCGGAGCTGGGAGCCTGCGGCCGTGGACTGTGGCTGGACGGCCCTGAAGCGAGACTGGGGCACGAGGAGAGAACTGGGCCCTCCCTCCGCGGGCCCCGCCGCCTGGACACGGTGATCAAGGCCGCTCGCGATAGAAAGCCTTGGGCAGTATCGATCACCTTGAGTGCCTTTCGGAGACGAATGTAACTTTTCTTTTGGAGCAACAAAACTGACTGCAGCGGATACGTTGTACAGTGGGGAGCGGTGGTGTAGCGGTTAGCGCGCCGCGCCACGAACCCGACGACCCGAGTTCGATTCCTGCTCACTGCCAATACCGGTTACGATTATCTGAACCGGTCCTGGGCCTCCCCTAGGTCGACTCGGCCTTAAATGAGTACCTGATGCGGTGTGTAGTAAACATCGCCACTGGGGAGACAAAGGCGGCCGGCCGTGGTGCTGGCCACCCACCCCCTCGTGTGCCGTTCTGGCCTTCATAGGTGCTCGCTAACAGCACTTGCCCCAACAGTCTGTTAAAGGCTATACGGGGGATCTTTGTCATTGTCTTTTTGTGTGTATGTTGATCTTCGTTGGCACCGTACGTAGCCAACCGTGCTAATCGGAGGTGTTGGGAGTACAACAGCACTAAAAACAAAAAGCAGTCCTAAAGAAATTTTCAACGTAGATTTAAAAGTGCATAGCTCCAGGTGGCTTCCTACTATAAGAAGGAAGAAAATTCCAGACGGCCGCAGAAGCGCGTCTGAAAGCGCGCGATGCAGCGACCGTCTTCGTTCGACGGCTAGCCAAAAGCCGCTGCGAGGACGAGCGGAGTTTGTGTGACGGTGGTTTACGCTCCTTGAGATCGGCAGCAAGGTGTTGTGGTTTACTTGTAGCAAGCACTTTGGATGTAATGAGCGCGAGCACACAACGCCTTCCTTCGGCAGCCGTTGAACTTCTTTCGGCACCGCACGTGGCCAACCGTGCCAATGGGAGGTGCAGGGGGCAGAAGTTGAACACACAACAGCAAGAGCGACGTGCTGTACCGAGCTGGACTAAACTTCCACTGGGCTCTCTTTACCGATGCGGTGTGAATGGCGTGTTTACAGCTTGCGCGGTTTACTTGCGGCGCTTTGAGCGTTTTCCCACAAACCTTGAGCTTTTCAGAGGACTAGCGAGAGATTTTAATAAAGCTTTCCAAACCATTCGGAAACATGATCTCGATAGGATGGTGGTTGACACGCTTCCATCCCTTCAAGAAATATGAACCCACTGAACTCAATTAGAAAACACGAAGGAACACATTGGCAAGGTTATATCCTAGCAACGGCTTTCTTTGTTAAACTGCTGCTTAGCAAGTCGCCGGCTTGTGTGTGTGATCATTTGTGTGTTTGTGTCGTCACTGTGGGGAGCGGTAGTGCAGCGGTTAGCGCGACAAAGTCGGCGATTCAAGTTCTATTCCTGCTCCGGCCAACACCACCAGTGACGATTGTCTGAACCGGTTCTGGGCCTCCCCTAGGTCGACTCAGATGAGCAGCTGGTGCGGTGTGTAAACATCGCCAACTCGGGAGGCAAAGGCGGCCGGGCGTGGTGCTGGCCACCCACCTCCTCGTGTGCCGTGCAGGCCTTCATAGGTGCTTGGTGACAGTACTTGCTCCAACAGCCTGTCAAAGGCTATGCGGGGGGTCTTTGTCATTGTCTTTGTGTGTGTGTGTATTACTGTGACTTCAAAGCCAATGCCGAGTTCTTACACTCATTTGAGTTCAATGGATTTTCTTGAACCAATTTCCTGCAGTAAACAACGTGTGCTGCACACGCACTTGCCACACCGCCGCACTGGGAGCTCAGGCGGTCCCTCGCAGGCCATTCACAATAAGTGCGCTGACAGCCACGCTGCCCATTGTGCAGCCAACCTGGGGCCACTTTCCCTGCCACGTCTTCGAGGTGAAGATATTTTTTGTTTCAAAATTGGATCGGAGGAATTTAGGGGTAAAAAAAACAACGAAAAAGGGTGAAAGCGTTTACCCGTCTCGGGATCACCACTTGTGGGTGACAAGTGGGATAAGTTTTTGCCATTCCTGGCCAGGTGGCTCATCAAACACCTAACTCACTAACTCATTAACTCACTCATGTGTAGAGGTTCAGAGGTCTCATCCCTGTGCTGTCTTGCAGTCCAAGCCGTTGCTCTTGCTGAGTGTTCAACGTCGCTACGTCACAGCCTCAATCAGTTCAATTTGTCAGCGGTTGGTGACTTGGAATTGGGAGTAGACGTGGCACAGTGTGTGTATCTTTGTGTGTGCATATATGACTGCGTGTGTGTCAACGGTAGTGCAGCGGTTACCACTCTTGCGCTACGGCGACCCAAGTTCGATTCCCGCTCACGGCCAGGTCGATTCAGCTTCAAATGAGTACCGGTACTCGGTGCGGTGTGTAAACATCGCCACTGGGGCGGTCGCCCGGGCGTGGTACTGGCCACCCATTCCCTCGTGTGCCACGGTGCCGGCCTTCATAGGCGCTGCTGCTCGCTAACGGCACTTGCCCCAACAGTCTGTTAAGGCTACACGTGTAGGGGGGGATCTTTGTCTTTGTGTGCGACTCGGTGTGGCAGGTTTTCGGAAGCGATCCGGAGCCAGCCGAGGGTGCCGCTGCTGGACAGGGGAGCGCCGGTGTACGCGGCGGGGCTGGCGCTCGTCTCGCTCGGCTCCCTGCTGGTCCTCGCCAGCTTCTGGGCCCTGGGCATCACGGGGACGTTTCTGGGTGAGCCCCCGTGCGGTCCCTGCCCCGGCTTGCGGACCGCTTGACGTCGTGGCGAGGTGTTAACTCCCTCGCCTGGTACGCAGGAGGTCGTGGGTTCGTTTCCGACCCCGATGACGCCTGCTGTGCATTTGGAGTTTGCGTCTCTCTCCCTGTGGTCCCGTGGATTTTTCTCCAGGTCCTCCGTTTTTTTTCCCTCCATCTTTTCCCTCCACCTTTAGAATCAATATCGTGCATTTAGAGTATTTGGCCGTTATAAATTTCCACGAGATAAGCCACTTCGTTGAGCTATCATTTGTGATGGCCAGGTAGCTTCTGAAAAAAAGCTACATAGCTCAGTGAGCCTTACCTGGTAAAAGTAAAATAGTTTATAATTTTTGGAGATGCAGTCCGGTATTGTTGCTCGTTAATGCGATCGCTTACCGCACCTCTGATCATCACGGTTGGCTACGTACGGTGCGAAAGAAGTTCATCATACGTAAAATATAAATGCGATGAGCATAAAGCGACCTTCCCCGTGTCTGCAGGACCCGCTGTGTGCGCTGTGTACAGCCTGGGCAGACGAGAATAGCCGGTTGTGTCTTACCCGTGCGTTGACATTATTGTGTTACCCGTGGGACACTCTTGCACTCTGGGACAGTACAGCCAGCGCGCTCGCCACGTGGGGACCGCTGTTTGTCTTTGCGTTGCAGCGATCGGCAGCGCTCCCGTGTGCGTGCGCGCACTGATGCAAAGCGATCGCTCACCGCGTCACTACGGTGGTTCACGTGTGATATATATGAATGGCTCAATTTGGGACGTGCGTACGTCTGTTAAACTTTTTTCGCACCGCACGTAGCCAACCGCGCTAATCGGAGGTGCGGGGGGGAAGGACAAAAAAACGAAACAACAACAAGCAGCTCTAAAGAAATGAGCTTTCAATCTTGGTGATGTAAAAGTGCATAGTTTCCTGTGGCTTCCTAATATTGGAAGGAAGAGCATTCCAGACGGCCGCAGAAGCAGCGCATCTGAAAGCGGGCGATGCGGTGACCGTCTTTGTTCGATGGTTAGCCAGAAGCCGCCGCCGCTGCTGCTGCTGCTGCTGCTGCGAGGGATTACAGGTACAGGAGCAACCATCCCACCCCCCCGGCAGACTTAATGCCCAATTGCAGACGCAGGCGTTGAGTCACCTCGCACCGCACAGAGACAGCCGCCGCAGCCGGTGCACCTTTGCATGTTTGAGAATCGATGGCGAGCCGCTCGTGCCCTGGTGCAGGACCACGCTGCTGCTCGCGCAGTATCAGCTGGTGCCGCTCATCACGTCAACCGCATTCGCTGGACAAGACCATGGCAGGTCTACTGAGTATTTCGTACGGCTGCTGATGTAGATGCAGAACAACAGCTACAATGTCACATTCAGGTGGCCAAGGCCAGATAACCGCGTCAGGAGCAGTAGCAGAGTAGTGAATTATCGCTGTCGTGTCTCCTTTGTATTTGTGGGTCGCGTTGTACGGTCTCTGTTGTGGACCACCACAGTCGCACGCATGCCAGTGGATGCCGATACCTGATGCACAAATGGAAAATGCAAAACTCTCCAGTAGGAGACGTCACAGCGATGATACACTACTCTGCTACTGCTCCTGACGTCATCTGGGCTTGACCAGCTGCATGCGACATTGTAGCTGTAGCGCTGCATCCACATCGTCAGCAGCCGTATGGAAGAAGACGACGTGGGGGTGACTGCTGGGCTCCTGTGGAGGAGCCAGAACCCACATTGGGCACTGAGACACAGCTGAGGATTTGTCCTGGATCCACAGCTGCCGTGTAAACGTCGTCGCGCAGAATCATCACGGGCGTGGTTGTGGGGTATGCAAGTAACTCGGCGATAACCCGGCAATACGCCTCCCTTCACATATTGGTTCCTCCACGTACAGAGTATTCTTTACAGAGTATTCTTTACATATCCCGTGAGCCACACGGACTTCTGGGGGCGCATACTTTCAGCAGCATCGGTTAAACAAGAAGCAAACTCCGCGCCGATTTGGACATGCAACGTCTCACCAGTCGAGCGAGGCTTGCCAGAACTAATCCGATCTAATTGAATGTTTACATTCAATTAGATCGCCTTCACTCATGGCGCTTGTCGTAGCTTACAAACCGGTGACACGGAGTGGAATGATGTAGTTGGCAGGGGCGTGCTACAAGGGTTGAGGAATGAGAGACAGCTATAGAGGATACTTAGGGATCACGACCATTCCAATACTTGCAACTCAAGGCATATTGTTTACACAAGACGTGTTGCAGCATGCTGTCCATCAACTTGCAGCTTCTCCATCTGCAGTGCAAGGCAAACAAAACGAACAACTCAAGAATGACTGAAAACTCATCGATCGTTTATCAGCTGTAGTTTGGATATCCCAGCGGGGTTGCCCGAATCAGCCCCCCGTGAATTGTTGGCCGCAAAAGCGAGATTATTTTACAGCGAGTCACTTGGCCAAAACATTTGCTCGAATTCCCTCCCTCCCTCTCTCTCTCCGTGCGCGCGTGCCGTTTGTCAACAGGCGACTACTGCGGTATCCTCATGGACGGCAAGGTGACCGGCTTCCCGTTCAGCGTCACCGACAACCCCATGTACTGGGGCTCGACGCTCAATTTCCTGGGCTGGTCCTTAATGTGAGGAGCGGTCGCACTCGCGTTTAATGTTTAATGTTTTCGTTTTTTAGTTTGTCGTCCTTTCTGCCCCCCCCCCCCGCATCTCGGCTTAGCATGATTCGTCAGGGTTATGGGAGCGACGGAGCAACTGAATATACTGTACAGCGAGTACAAATCCCACCGCCGACTTTCGCATTTGATACCAGGCAGTGACTTGAGAGTGTTCATTGTGTAGCGCTGTAGACGGGCTGCACTTACCTGCAATGGCAGACAGGGCCCATCAGGGGTGGTACCGGCAGGGGGGTCGCTTCATTCCCCAGCCCAAAAGCAGGAGGGGGCTGTGGGGTGTCCTGGGATCCCCCGGGACCCCCCCCCCCCTCCTGGAACTCTCTGGAAGAGAGGCGTGGCCAGAGACGGACACACCTGGGAGGTGTATTAAAGCCAGACCTCTCAACAGGTTCGGGGCCAGTCCAAGACAGAAGCCAGAAGACCAGCCAGCCTAGGACCCTGGGACCCCTGGCCCCTGCTGTCCTTGTAAGGGCCGGGGCTCTGTGGGCCAGTGGTGAGACCCTGGAACTCCCGGCCTGACGTAAGGGCCGGGTCCGAGGAAGCCAGTGGTCGGGACCCGTACATTGGCTGGGTCGGGTCAGATAGCCTCTTCTAGGTCAATCGTAGCCGGAGGACCTGAGAGCGTAGCCGGTGTTAGGCACGTGAGCCCGGAGGCTGTGTTCCTAGGTTGTATCAGGGAAGGGCTGTTGTCTGAGTGAAGGCAGGAACTGTTGCCTGAGTGAAGGCTGTGGACTTGCTTTGTGCGTTAGAAATGAACGCGTTGCCTCTACAAGTGGTCTCCAAGAACTCACGACAATTGCAATGTTGTCACTTCGCCAGGGAGAGACCTGGGGCGACTGTGACAACGCAAGGGATTTTGTCAGACTTTGTGCTTATTTATTTATTTTACAAAAATTGCGGACAACTGATACATGTTAGCGTCGCCGGCGCCACTTGCGCGCCGACGGGCCGACGTTGGCCGATCGTTGCGTTTTGCACCTCGTCTTTGCACCTCGTCTTTGCACCTCGTCTTTGCACCTCGTATTCGCACCTCGTCTTTGCACCTCGTCTTTGCGGGCGATGAGCCCTGGTGGGCTCCCTGCACGCCGGAGCTCGCGTCCGTGTTCTGTGCAAGCCGCGAGGGCCCAGAAGCGCACAGTCAACGCCACGGCGCTGGAAGCTGCCATTGACCTCGACTTATATTTCTTTCTCTCTCTCTGTAAAGCTCTTGGCTTCGCAAACGAACACGTCGTCGCATACCTTCGCTTTGCAACTATCGCCGTAATTCACGAGCGGCAGGCACGTACGCCACCAGCGGCAGGCGCGGTAGGCGCGCACCGCGGGGAAATAGGTCACCCTTTATCCCTCGTTGCTTAGCGTCCGTGGCCCTGGTTGCCTGGCGACCGACCGTGGTTACGTCCGTCGCCTCTCGAGTGCCGGCGGATTTTTTGGATCTTGAGCGGAAGACTGTGGGCCGCCACGCCGCGGCCGACCAGCCGCGTGTCGGAACGAACAAAAAAAATGGTTTTGTGAGCCATTCATTTGAAGGGAGACAAAGGTGACGCTTCCCCATGCTGCTGTGCGCTTTTAGGAATATTGGGGAGAATTGATGCCTCGTTGGAACAATGGAATGTCAACAAAACACGCGAGTGGCGCAGGCAGGAAGGAAATTACCGACTGTTGACAGGCTAATGGTTTTCTCGAGGCAAAATTTGCAATGCCTTACAAGAGGGGGGGTCATGTATTGTCAAGGATGTTGTTTTTGTTGTAAACAGGACAAGCTGGAATTTCGATTTAAAGCTTTCGTGACTGCAGGGATTCATATTCTTGGTTCTTTCGGTAAAGTCACGTAGAAGGGAAGTAATAAAATAATAAAACATAAATGTTTATTATGTTTTCTTTTTATTATTTTACGTAGAAGGGAAATAATAAAATAATAAAGCATACATTTTATAATGTTTTCTTTTTATTATTTTATTATTTCCCTTTTACGTGACTTTACCGAAAGAACCAAGAATAGGACAAGCTTGGTTAATTCTGTTTATTTGAAGTGAGATTCTGACCCCCTGATGCTTTGCAGAAGCGATAATCTTTAATTATTGTGTTTAATAATGATAAATTTGCTCAAATAGCAATAAAATAGGAATTGTGTTAAGATGTTCAAACACCAAATAGAAACCTTTTGCAAAGAATCAAATTCGCATTAACCATACACGGTACATGCCAAGCAAGCATGCTCTGACAATGCCTGGCTTTGTCTTGGGAACTGATTGGTCTACACCAGAGGCGGCAGCCTTCTTGAGCGCCTCGTCTCAACCAGTGTTAGACCAGAGACCAAAGACAGAAAGCGAATAGCACAACAGTTTAAAGATTTATTTGTTTACCTTCGTGCGAATGTTCAATTTATTTCACACCGTGTATAGAAAACGGTAAACACAAAAAAGCAGTTATGAAGAAATCAGGTTTCTGTCAGCGTATACCAGGGTTAAAATGGAATTAATACTTCATTTTTTAATCGCTAATTGTTTTAGTGCATGAATATAAGACGTGCGAAAGCCACGATGTTATTTATTACGAGACCGACTAAATTTAAAGTCCCTCATTCAGTGAACGTGGTCGGACATTCATGCAGAGCGGCCCCCACCTCTTCTCCAGCTGCGGATCCCTCGCCAACCCACAACCACTCCTGGCAAAAACCACTCCAACCCACAACCACTCCTGGCAAAAAAACACTCCAACCCAAACCACTCCAACCCAAAACCACTCCAACCCAAAACCACTCCTGGCAAAAAAACACTCCAACCCAAACCACTCCAACCCAAAACCACTCCAACCCAAAACCACTCCTGGCAAAAAAACACTCCAACCCAAACCACTCCAACCCAAAACCACTCCAACCCAAAACCACTCCAACCCAAAACCACTCCTGGCAAAAAACACTCCAACCCAAACCACTCCAACCCAAAACCACTCCAACCCAAAACCACTCCTGGCAAAAAAACACTCCAACCCAAACCACTCCAACCCAAAACCACTCCAACCCAAAACCACTCCTGGCAAAAAAACACTCCAACCCAAAACCACTCCAACCCAAACCACTCCAACCCAAAACCACTCCTGGCAAAAAAACACTCCAACCCAAAACGACTCGGCTTCGATTTCTGCTTGACAGCCAACACCAGTGATGATTACTTGAACCGGTCGTGGGCCTCTCCTAGATCGACTCAGCCTAAAATGTACCTAGTGAAATGGTGTGTAACATCGCCACTGAGGAGACAAAGGCGGTCGAGCGAGCTACTGGCCACTCACCCTCTCGTGTGCCGTGCCGGCCTTCATAGGTGCTGCTACTCGCTAACAGCACGCCAACAGTCTGTTAAGGCGACACGGGGGATCTTTGTTCTTAGTCGTGCTGGAAGTGCTGTGTGGGTGTTTAAGGGCGTGCCGTGCTGTGCTGCTGTGGCGGGTGCAGGCAGGCCAGCCCCGCCGGGAGCATCTTGACGTGTGGAGTCGCGATCTCCTACAGGGTGGCCATCGCCTTTGAAGGGTATGACGACGATGACGACGATGATGACGGTGACGGTGATGATGGTGATGGTGATTGCGTGCATGTGTGGGGTATATGGAGAGCGGTAGTGTAGCGGTTAGCGCGCCGCGCTATGAACCCAAGTTCGATTTTCGCTCACGGCCAACACCAGTGACGATTATCTGAACCGGTCCTAGGCCTCCCCTAGGTTGATTCAGCCTCAAATGAGTACCTGGTGCGGTGCGTAAAAACATCGTCACTGGGGAGACAAAGGCGGCCAGGCGTGGTGCTGGCCACCTACCCCCTCGTGTGCCGTTCCGGCCTTTATAGGTGCTTGCTGACAGCGCTTGCCCCAACAGTCTGTTAAGGCCATACAGGGGATCTTTGTCTATTTTGGTGATGATTGTGATAATGATGGTGATACTCGTGATGATGATGGTGCTTGTTATGATCATGATGATGGTAATGATTGTGATGATGATGATTGTGATGCACGCCTTCACGTATAGCGCCACGCGGATCAATCTCACGTTCGATTTTGAGGTTTTATAAAAAAATGTCAACTGGGGCAAAGGCTTTCTTTGCCGAGGCCATCTGTGGGGGTTCAGTTTAAACGTGAGAGGTGTTTTGTCCGATTGAAATCGTTGCTAAAAACTAAACTGAAACTTTGTATTTTACCAAGTAAGGCCCACTGAGCTACGATGTAAGCTCTGTTTTCAGAAGGTACCTGGTCACAAGTGATAGCTCCAACAAAGCTGCTTATCGTCGCGGACATTTATAGCAGCAGCCAAACACTCCCAACACGTGGTGACGTACAAACTCTACATACACAACAGGCGTCAAGATCGGGGTGTAACCAACGACCTCCTGTATACCAGGCGAGGGAGTTAACATCTCGTAGCCACCGAGTGAGTCTTCTGAGGACTAGGTGGCCAGATCATTCACCCGGCCGGTGTTCATCCCGTCACATTTTATCACCGTCACATTTTATCACCGTCACAGATCCGGACCGATTTGCCACCGATTCGTGGTTGGTTCAAGCACACATGCGGATAAGAGCAGGGTGGGATAAGATCAGTTTCAATGCATTCTTCTCTGTACTACTAGTTGATTCAATAATGACAAAAACAACAACTTTTTTTTGTTAAAAAATATAGAACAGAATGAAGGAGCTGTGTTTGTTTCTGCGCGTGCTGGAAGACGGACGTGGGGTCGTTATCCCACGCTCTCTTATTGCGGAATGTTGCGCAGACACGATGCGATAAAAGAGTTCCGTCAGCGCCACACGTGTTGTTCACGCGATGTTCACGCGATGTTCACGTGTCTTTCACGCGATGTTCACGTGCCGTCCACGCAATGTTGTAGGGATGTTCACACGTTTTCACGTGTTGTTCATGCGCTGTCCACACGTTGGTCACACGTTGTTCATGGTACGTTCACACGCGATGTCCACGTGTTGTTCATGGAATGTTCACACGCGATGTCCACGTGTTGTTCATGGTACGTTCACGCGATGTCCACGTGTTGTTCATGGTACGTTCACGCGCGATGTCCACGTGTTGTTCATGGTACGTTCACACGCGATGTCCACGTGTTGTTCATGGTACGTTCACACGCGATGTCCACGTGTTGTTCATGGGATGTTTACGCGATGTCCACGCGCTCTCCACGCGTTGTTCACGCGATGTTCACACGAGAAGGGAATGTGATTTTGGTTGGAAGTGCTAACGGAAAATGTACAAAGAGGAGGAGATTGTATAACAGTTGCGTAACACAAGCTGGTTTTGTCAAGGCGAAATTTGGTCGTAAATACTTAAAACGCGTTCAAACGTACGAAGGTGCAAATAATATGCATTAACTATAATGAAAATAAAAATATTCATTATTGCAGGTTGTAAACCCTCCCTGCTGAGTGCCAGCGCGACAACTCGTTAAAAAGACAAAGCAATTACAGGAATCTTGCCGCTGCTTTGCCGCTGACATATGGGTCGCTGCTTACACAACGTCGCCGACCTGCAACTCGCCCGTCTCTCTTCCACGCGTCTTGCGAGCTCAACATCAACGTGTCGGCTCTGGACACAGTCACAATGCACGGCCATTGCAATGACAATACAATGAGAAATAACTATATACCATCTAGAGTTGCGCAAACTGTTAAAAAGGGTCGTTGTGGCTGTGAGCTCGTCGTTGTTGTGTGCGGGTGTGCGAAAAGCCGTGGTGGTGAGTTGGGACTGTGAGTGTGGTGTTGGTGATGGAGTCAAGAGTGTGCTGATTGCTTCTGGGGGGTTGTACCAGAGGTGTGGTGCTGCAAATGAGAAAGATCTGTCTCCCAGGATCAATATTATGAAACGAGCCATTTGCCCGCCCAAGGACGGGTGTATTGCAGAAAATCTGAAACTTGCAAGCGAAAAGCAGCCCGCGACGTGATATATTCATTGCATCAATGCGTGTGCAGCTTGTAAGGGAGCGGTGACACAGACCTATTGCATGTAAAGGTTAAAATCCCTTGTTCATCACGACGTCCTTTTTACTTCGATGTCTCAACAGCGTGACGGAGATCGCGTGACGTGAGGGTTCTGCCTTCGTAGTGAGGGTTGTGAGTTGACGCCGAGGAGGGGGGAGGAGGCGCCTCGCCCCCCCCCCCATGTGGAGTGACGTCACCCGCTAATTATTATGAATGGGGGGGGATGTCCATTTGGAGGACGTCACCTGCTCATGATTATTAATGAGGGAGGCTGTTCGATGTAGAGTGACGTCACATTATTAATGAGGGGGGGTCCATTTGGAGGACGTAACCAGCTATTGATTATTAATGAGGTGGGCTGGTCGACGTGGAGTGACGTCACCTGCTCGTGATTATTAATGAGGGGGGAGGGTGCTCCATGTGGAGTGACGTCACCTGATCATGATTATTAATGAGGGGGGAAGGTGCTCCATGTGGAGTGACGTCACCTGATCATGATTATTAATGAGGGGGGGGGGGCTGGTCGATGTGGAGTGACGTCACGAGCGTTAAGGACAGCCACTGCTGGGTGATGAGAGTGGGTCGAGCGAGTGAGTGCAGGGTCACGCGCTCTTAGTCAGGGTGCTGAGTGAGTGGGCACTGCCGGCTCTGGGCGCCGCGGTGGCGAGACATTTGAGGCGTTGTTACCTCCCTCGCCCGGCACAGATCTTCACCAGAAGTGACCCGGCCACAAATTGACAAGCTCAATTAAGTGGCTTTCATCATCGTTAGGAGAAATTCGTAGCAGCCAAATAATGCGAACGCACGTTGATTCTGAATGTGGAGGGGAAACCCAGAGGGCCCTGTAGAGACACATCCACGCGACCACGGGGGGAGAACGAACAAGCCAACTCCAAATGAAGAGTAACTGCTTCTTTATTTAAATGCTTCCGACGCCACTTGATGATTGAATTTGTCACGAGCTGCAGGCTTCTTAATGACAGATTTGGGCACAGATCGTTCCGTGGGCTAAGCCAAAAATTATGAATTGGTACCGTCTGAGAAAAGCTACGACACATTTATATTTACAAGATCTCACCCAAAAGTGCTTTATTATTATGGAGAAAAAAAACCACATTTACCTGTTCGCTTTGAGATGGGAGAAGGCTTACGATCACGTTCTGATTAGATTTTTTTCGCTTGGCTAATTAACCGTAGCGAGTCGTTTTGGCATGTTGTAACGTATGTGATGTTTACATTGTCCGGGGCTTTTATTGTCGCGGCGCTCCTGCTGCTGTTGCTGCTGCTGCTGCTGCCGCCTCATGCGCCGCCTGCCTCGCATGCGGTGGCCGCGCTTGTTGTTGAATTTGTGCCGTGACCCAGTTTCCCCAATTGCTTAGATTTGTTGTTGTTGTTGTTCCAGCCCCTTCACTCGAGCCATTTACGAGCAGAGAAACGTGGGATTGAAGCGACGCTAAAGTGGCTCACGGGGCCACGCAGCTACGGGGCTACGCGGCCACGCGGCCACGCGGCTACGGGGCTACACGGTGTTGTGGCCACGCGGTGTTGTGGCCACGCGGTGTTGTGGCCACGCGGTGTTGTGGCCACGCGGTGTTGTGGCCACGCGGTGTTGTGGCCACGCGGTGTTGTGGCCACGCGGTGTTGTGGCCACGCGGCTACGCGGTGTTGTGGCCACGCGGTGTTGTGGCCACGCGGTGTTGTGGCCACGCAGTGTTGTGGCCACGCAGTGTTGTGGCCACGCGGTGTTGTGGCCACGCGGTGTTGTGGCCACGCAGTGTTGTGGCCACGCGGCCACGCGGTGTTGTGGCCACGCGGTGTTGTGGCCACGCGGTGTTGTGGCCACGCGGTGTTGTGGCCACGCGGTGTTGTGGCCACGCGGTGTTGTGGCCACGCGGTGTTGTGGCCACGCGGCTACGCGGTGTTGTGGCCACGCGACGCTCTGCAGCTGCCATCCCTGGTGACGACAGCAATGCCGATCTCGCACCCAGCAGCACCTTTGATTCCGTGTGTCGTTTTGTTAAAGATTTATATTTCGAATCGCTGTGCGGGCAATTAAAATTAATCAACTTTACCAATGCACATCGCGCGTTGATATCCGCGTAGCTTGTGTTTGCCTCAATATTAACTCGTCCCTTTCTTTTCGTTGTGGTTTTTCTTGTAAATCTGATTTATAAAATGCGCAATAAAAGCACGATGCCAAATTGGATCGTGCGTTGTCAAAGTTTTTGCGCGGGCGCACACCTCGTTTCAAAACTGCTCGACGCGAGCCGTCGATGTGTTGAGACTTGCACCGCCCTTGCGCCGGTCTTTGGTCTCGCACCGGCGGTGACACGAGGCCAGGGACGAGGCTGTCTTGGTTGTAGGCCAATCAGCTTCGAGGACGATGCGTGCGCGATTATCAAAGCACGTCTGTTTGCATGATTCACCACAAGCGTGAGGTGTTGTTAGCGCAGACTTACCCCGCTCCTCCAATTAGCACGGTTGGCTACGTACGGGCGCAAAAACAAGTTAAGCATACACACAGGCCTGACCACGCCTCGCGGTACGTATTTTTTAGCGTTGGAACATCTCGATACCTCCCGTGATTTTTTGTCGGACGTTTACGCGATCTAACCCCAAAAACCTCATACGGAGGAGACATCGTCTGCTGATGTATCAGCGTGGGCTTCGATAAGCACACATTCATTACTACCTCAATGTTTCTTTTCTTATAATTGAATGAATAATCTAATGTTTTTTTATATTGGTCATTATGTATGAAAAGATAGCTGCATTAATTCTCAATGTTTTTTTGCAAAAACATTTTCAGAAGAATAAACGACGTCATTATGAATAGTACATCGTTATTGAAGTTTATGTAAATTGCTGTTACAAATCAGATACCTTGAGCATCTAAATTACAACCCAACATTAAAACCCTGTACCAGGGAGACGTGATGTTTTACGAGGGGTATTATCATGTCGTGGGTGTGTGTGTCATGTCGTGGGTGTGTGTGTCAGTATGTGGGGAGTGGTGGCGCAGCGCTTAGTGCGCTGCGCTACGAATCCGGCGTCCCGAATTTGATTCCCGCTCACGGCCACCACCAGTGACGGTTATCTAAACCTGTCCTGGGCCTCCCCTAGGTCGACTCGGCCTCAAATGAGTACCCGGTGCATTGTGTAAACATCGCCATTGGGGGAGACAAAGGAGGCGGGGCGTGGTGGAGGATCCTTGTACCAGGGCCTATCTGGCGCATTGCTGGGCGTGGTGCTGGCCACCCACCCCTCGTGTGCCGTTTTGGCCTTCAGAAGTGCTCGCTAACAGCACTTTCCTCAACAGTCTGTGAAGGCGATACGGCGGATCTTTGTTTTGTCAGTATTTGGGGAGTGGTACTGCGGAGGTTAGCGCTGCACCGCCCTACGAACCCTGAGACCCAAGTTCGATTCCTGCTCACGGCCAACATCGATGCAAAGTTTGCGCTTCATTGGTACCAAAGTGAGCCCATGGGTAAGTCATAGTCGTTACCAAAATCACAGCAATTTTAGGCGAAGTCTACGCTCGAGATTCGTATGCCCAGAGGAGGAAACTGATGACATAAATATCACCACTTTATATAATGGATTTACTTATACATGGTGTTGGGCAGTGCATTTAAAGTTGGCAGGGAGACATTGGAAGACAAACGGAGAAAAATAATTGTCTGAAACCGCGAAGGACGTGTCCGGGGGAAAGGGGAGAAATCTGAAGATGGAATTACGTGAAGCTCATGGCGGGACCCCGGGGTCCCACAAGCCCCCGGCTCTCGCATGAACTGCGTTGCGACGTCATTCTGTGTCTGTTGAAGGCGAACGCTCCGGCGATTGATCCCTCTCGACGAGCTCTACACGATGCGCTAATCAAAGTTTCAAAGTTTTGTTTCTTCTGCGCATTCGTCCTAGCTGCTGCGCTTGGACGACACGATAACAGAACGATCCGTGCCAGGCGGGTCGCGGCGTTTGTGTGCGCGGTGGGACGGAGTCGCCAAAAATAAATAAATTAATTGCGATTTATTCGGGAAGGTTCATATGAAGAGCGCGCACAGTGGACCGATGAACGGAACGCCGCAAGCGATGGTTGAAAGCAGAGAGAAATGAAAAGAGGTCAATGATTGCCAATTCACTAAAATTGGAGCACCTCGTGTGAGAAGGGGCGAACCGTTGCTCACGGTGGAGATGGAATATTGAAATTAGTTTAGGAATTTTATGCCGAACTCCGTCGCAAACAAATGCATGCAGCCCCGCGCGACCAGCGCCTCTCACCCGCAGAGGAGGAGGAGGAGGCTCCGGGTCTCGCACTTTTACGACACATTCAGCCACGATGAAGGCGTGACGTCGCCAATATGGTGGCGTGCAGCGTGGTATCGACAAGGCTCGATTATTGCAACTCGCTGCTCTACGGGACGTCTGGCAAAAAAAACTTTAGCAAGCTGCAGCGTGGACAGAATTCTTTGTCACGCGTCATGACGGGGTACCGCGAGATCGGACCGTGTCCATCCGGTGCTCTTCCAGCTGTGTTGGCTTCCGATTACCAAACGAAAACATTAAGGTCGCGCTTATTACACACGGAGCGCTTGCCTCAAATTAAGCACAACACCTGGCTCGTCTCGTCAAGGAGCATAAACCATCACGTGAACTCCAGTCATCTCGCATCGTGCACTTTCAGATGCGCTTTTGCACAACAGATATTAGCAAGCCACTGGAGCTATGCAATTTGAAATACTAACTGAAAACGAATTATTTTAAAACTGCTTTTTATGAGTTTAACACGTAGCAGGCTTTCGCGACCAATATCATCGATAATAGATTTTTTTGGGTTATATCGCGTAAATATATAAATGTGTCGTTAAACCCGCCACCACCCAATACAGCCAACTAGTAAGGGTTGTCACGTAAACAGAACGTGCCAATTCGTCACTAGTACAGCACACGGGTGTGTTGGAGAGTCAAGCCACAACATTTACAAACGGAGTACGACGTTTCACCAGTAATAACAACTAGCTTCATCAGGCGACAGCCAGATTTATGGAGAAGTCTTACTGTTTCGTTCCTTATATAGAGGCGTAGATGTGACCACGCTTCTGCGCTCTTGCACAATGTGGGGGGGCGGGGGGTCTATTGTGTTTATTAAAATAGTCCCTCCAACGGTAATCCCTTTTGAAGTGCGTTGCCCTTTGTAGGCATGCATTTAAATAATGTATTATTTGATTATTCTGTTCCACGCAGCACTAAGATGGTAGCTATCCGAACTGTTAAAGTTATTTTGATTTCTTTCAATTTCGATAGCTTCTCTAATTAGTCTTGGCCAGTAGTTGCTAGTTTTGCACAGAACTTCAACATCAAAATCAATTGAGTGTCCTTGTTGGCACGCGTGTTCTGCTGCTGCTGACAGTTGCATTTGGGATAATTTAATATTTCTCTGATGTTCTTTTGTCTCGTGCTGATCATTCGTCCTGTTTGCCCAACATAACATTCACCACACATGCAGTTAATCCTTACACACCTTCTGTTGATAGCTTCGGTAATACATCTTTTGTACCAGATATTAAATTCTGTATTTTATGTACCGTGCCAAATCTTACTCGGATGTTTTGTTTTTCCAAACATCTGGCGAGTTTCTCAGTTACTCCCGCAATGTACGGCATTTTGATCGTTTTTAATTACTTGGGCAGTTTCAATGCTCGTGTTATTTGATTTGGCTTTGGCATCCAATGCCCTGTTGATTTGTGCATCATTGTAGCCATTCATTTGCAGCGGTTCTTTAACATGTTGAATTTCACTTCTCAGACTGTCACCATCTGACACTTTCTTAGCTCGATGAATGAGCGTCTTGATAAGAGCAGATTTCTGTGTGGGGTGATGGTGTGACTCTGCATTCAGTTAGGCGTCAGTAGGCGGTTAATAAACACTGTTATTTTACCATTTCGACAGCTTCATTCGCTTAATTCGGAGTTTCTCCGAATTGTCTTCACTAGCATTCCTCAAAAGATGCAGAGATTCAAAGGTAATACCACACGCAGTTAAAGTAACTCATCACATAAAGTCACTTAAAGCTAATCAAATACGACATGAAGCTAGTGAGTTGTGGCTAAAAGAGAGATTCCGGCACAATAGAAGTGAACTCAGTCACACTTCTAAATCACGAATGTCCTTACACGTGAGAATGAGTTACAGTGCCTCTACAGACCACTGGAAAATAATCGACACAATTACACAGCAATCAGCTGATAATGTATTTAACAAAACTAACACTACCCAAATTAACAAATTTGCTAGACTGACTAACAAACAACTCTGAACTAAAAATTAACATTTCATAAACAAAACGGTGATCAACATGACTAACGTTGAATTGATAATTGTTTTTTTACCCTTCTATCTGGCAACAAAACTGACACCTTTTTTTACAAGGAGTCATGTTTGCATAGACCACAATACCTGCAGTCATAATGCAAACAAAAAACATAACTGTGATAATGTGCACTGTCCTTGAAGTTGATTGGTCCACACCCGAGACAGCTTTCCTTAGAGCCTAGTCTCACATGGGTTGGACCAGACGACGTTGAATTATCCAGCGATATGGTTTCAGTCCGGTCTAAAGGTCTTAACTTTGCCGTTGCCCCACGTACAATCCCTGTCGATGAGGTCATTGCTGAAGTGGAATCAGCAGTTAGACATCTCCCCCACAATCAAGCTGAGATGACTCGGCATGAGGTTGCCAAAATGATTGAGAACAGAAAATTGCCAAAACCAAATATAAACTTCAGTGAAGCAAAAGCCTTAAGCCAAAACACCTCTACTATGGATGTTTGATTAGTTTGTTGTCCTTCCCCCGCACCTCCGATTAGCGCGGTTGGTCACGTACGGTGCAAAAGAAGTTCAACGTACGTACGAAGTCAACTCTGCCCCCTGGCAACAGCAACAGCAGCAGCAGCACAGCGTCAGGAAATGGGTCAAGAAGTGGGTCCATTCCTCCAAGCATGGCGGCATTCGACATTCCTATGAGACCAAGGAATGACCCAAGAATCTTCTTCTTGGTTCTTTCGGTAAAGTCACTTTACCGAAAGAACCAAGAAGATAAATCCCTGCAGTCACGAAAGCTTTAAATCGAAATTTGACCCAAGATTGTCAGCTGGTCGTGCTACAGAGCAAGCAATTGGATGGCCCTTGAGAGCTTTGGCGTTTGGGTGACAACGACCATCAGGCTTGCGTCTGGGTCAAGTGAGCAGCTTATGGCAATGTGCAATACGTGGAAGGAAATCAACAAAGTGTGTCAATGACGATGCGTGAATGTTAAAGATACCGTGACATGAACAGCTGTAGGCCGATATGTGCCTGTGCCGGATACTTTGATGGAAAAAAATCAACATGCTTCACCACATCGCGTTCTCGAGTGGTTATCAGGGCTCCCTCCGCACGCCCTCCCGCCCCAACTTTCTCCTGCTGCACGCACGAGCGCAAGAACGGCACATCGCACGCGACATCATCCAGTTTGTTTTGAACCAGTTTATTTAGACGTATAACAGCTAAGATGCCGATTTAAACACCTTACCATTAATGCAGCAATCTAATTTAGTATCGTATATCAGAGGCACTAAACAGGAGAGAAGGGCGCGTGTCACTTGGCTTGGGTTGCGTTCACTCTGCCATTGTACCGAGCGTTATCATGGTCACTCCAACCCCTCCGTAAGATAGTCCGCGCCTCTGGTGATCCTTTAACGCCGCGCGCGCGTGTCACCGTGACTTTGCGGTGTGCCGTTATAGACGTGACGTGGGCTTCTTACAGACAGAGCCTCTGTGCTCCTCTGCGCGCCTCTCTGCAC